TTCGGCTCCGATTTCGGAGTCCCCGGCTGGTAGTGGTTAACTGGGTTGCACCTGAGCAAAGCTTGTCAGCACTCAGCAAGTCTAAGTGCTTGGCATTACCATAAAATTGGCACAAGGTGGCATCGTACTCCCTGTCAAGATGGACAAATGGGCATAATACACCAACAACCACAATGCATATACCCATGTCTGAAAAGACTGATGTCAGCAATGCTGACTGGCTTGGCCATGGAATGTACGTAACATTCATTATTCTACTCACTTGTTGAGTTGAGCGCAGAGTTGAGGATTGTAGGACAGCATCCATACACAGAATGTCAGTTGGTATTGAATTTGGAAACTGACCTTACCTGCTAGAACAGACAAAATCCTGCAATGGAACAGAACAAACAAGGTTTCAGTTTTATACAGTTAAAAACTAAGTAACACTTGATAAAAATGTTCATTTTATGCAAAGAATTTCATGCAAGATTATAAACTCGACACTTTATCCTGTTTATGAGTACATACTGCCATTTCTGCGGACATATTGCCATTTCTCAGAACATATTGCTATTTCTGAGGACATATTGCCATTTCTGAGGACACATTGCTATTTCTGAGGACATACTGCATTTCTGATTACAACTTACGTGCTGACTCCTTCATTCTCCATAAAGGCCACTCGGTACACATCCAGCCTTAGCATCTGCTGTAGGCACTCAGTCACCGTCTGCACGTATTCATTTGACGTCGCGGTCAACTGCTGCTTGATCCAGTTGAAGAAGTATTTGAGGTCGTTGGCATTCATCTTATCCTTGCTGTAGCAAGCCAGCTTGGTTATGATACGGCAAGCCTGTCGAAATTCAAACACTTGGTATAGTGATAGTCCACTATACAGTTGTGGTTTATTTGGAGAAATGTAACTTTCTAAAAAGTTTATACATTGAAGGAAGAGCATCACCCAAGAGTGCCATGCATTCTTTTGACATAAAGAAACCCCCATCCAAATCACAGGGGTTAACCTTTTTTTCCCTAACCTGAAACAAAAGTGAGATGATGCACTGATCAGTCACAGGGCAACATCTCACTTTTGTCCAACCCCTAACTACATGTAGCAAGTAGTAAGTACATGTAGGGCAGAACATGCATGTACACATGCGTGGATCGCATGCATCTACATGTACACTGCACATGTACATGCTACATGACGGAACACAAAGGGAACAAATGTTTCCTAGTCCTTTTAATCGGTCTGTTGTCCTCAGCAGTAAGTGCCTGTGCTTAGTCTACAGGAGAATGCCATAGTTTGGGGATGGTAGGGAACACGATACCCTCGCTTCATGAAACATGATCTAAAACATGACTGTGTGCGCAGAATGGGACACGTGACCGCTATGAACCAATCACACTAAAATATCCCAAACACCATGCCACCGTTTGTGTTTTTCATCCCTGTAGAATGCTATCCAGCTGGAAATTCATGGACTGGAACCTTCAAAATATTAAATTACAGTTTCATGCTCCAAAAATGTTATTTGCGACTGGAATTGTAAGTCCCTTTATCCTACGCACTATTGTAATACAATACCTGATTGACGGTGAATGCATCCTCACGAGTCAGCATATTGAGGAACGGAGTCCATGGAGCTGTTTTACTCTTTTTACCATGCTCAACAAATATGCTCACTCGCTCAGGCTTTTCCTAGAAGAAAAAAAGGGAATCAGACGAATTACAAATATGGTCCTTAGCACCCAGTCTCCGCAACAAGCTGAAGAACAATTTTCCATTTGGTGCACAGTTACACTGTCAATGGTAAATGGACAGTAGAATGGGTGTTACAATTAAAGGTGACTTTTTTTCAATCAATAACCAAGATACAATGTTGCCACATGGTGTTAAAATATTTCAGTGATCAATTTGATACTTGACTTTCAAGATGATGATAAGCATGCATGTACATGTATGGTCTCGTTAACTATTGAGAGATGAGAACAAGAAATAAGTACAGTAATTGTAACAGATCGACAGTCGAAATTCGGAACAAATAAACACAACCAGCATGCACAGCACACGTACATGTACAATAACATAAAAAATTTTTAAAAATACACATTATTCAACCCAAAACAAGCTGCCAAAACTACCCAACTTCAGTTAATGCACACATACAATGTATACTGTGACACGTATTGTAATGTGGCTTCAATATCATTTAAGAGAAAGTGGTACTATCATTCTTCTAAAGAGGTAAGAATTCCAATTTCAGCAGAAATACAATTATACATACCGTTAGCCAGTGAACACTCTCCCTACATGTTCATTTACATCCAAAGCAAAGGAAACAATAATCCAGCTAACCCCTGAGTCTGCAGAAGGACTGAATTCACAAGGTATACCAGAATAGTTAGGTACCTTGAGCATACTGTCAATCGTGGTTAGGATGTAGCGCACTGTTTGCTCCTTGGCGATGCGTCCCATCAGACGGATGAAGACCTTGGCGCACTGCGGTCCTAGATTCTGAATCAACTGGTCCCGTCTCTCGCTGCTGGCATTGTCATAGTCGCGGATGAACGTGAAGTCATCCTGTGAGATCATCTGACCCCTAAAGTAAGGAACCAGAAAGATCTGTCATGCTACAAATACATTTAGGTGGGGAACCAAACCACAAACTAGCGACAACACTAAATTGTGCCTACATAATGTTGCTTGACCACATGGCGATGACGTCATTTTGAAAACATCACGTAATAATGTGGCCACCATGGCAGTTCATGTTGGAATCAACAGGAACACTATTTCTGATGGCTTTTTTGGAAAATAACCACGATCATTCATGGAGATTTCAAGTGGGCAACATTTCCATGCACAAACTGCATGTACTGTAAGTTTCAACAAAACTCAAATTTGTTTGCATTAATCTTTTTGTCAGTTGAACTTGCTTATCTTCCGATACAAATTCAGCACCAACTACACAAGATTCCCCTGAGAAATTCCTGTGATGCACTAGCAAATTGAAATTAAAATTTATTTACATGAAGATCGTGGGTAGCACAAGTAAGGTAAACTTAACTATCATCACAATGGTGTTTTATTGATGAAGAGATCGATGTATTGACTAGTCCTAGGACCCACATGTAAATCTGGAAATAGCTTCAAATGGCGTGATCACCATTTGATCAAGCGGCTTGGGCACGAGACGGCATCGGTGCTATGGTACAGTGCATGTTCAGTCTCATATTGGTGAAACATCTGAACACAATCTGAGACTGGTTCACAGTTAACTACCACGAACAGATGAACATGATGAACTTGGGAAGTAAAGTTGGAGATGTACATGTAGGCGTAATTACAGAATTGGCCAATCATAACGATAGACCATGCCCAACATATCGCACTGATCTGCACGACGATCACTCTGTGCAGTTGGCTGCTCCCCCACAAAATCTCCACCGGTGTTTCCCTCTTTTGGGACACTCATCCACAACAAGAAAGAAAAGGCCATTGGCTGATGGCGGAATTAACCTTAGTCATGTTAGTAACAAATCATGCAAATTGTGCCGTCAGATAGACCGATCATGCAAAAATAGACAGAATAAAATTACAGCGTTAAGTTGTTACATGTAAGTCTGTATCTGTGATGATACGTTTCAGACTCCAATTCTGGCAACGGAGAGAGAGGGTGGGTGTTGGATGTTGCTACGTTGAGTGGGGCCTGTGACTGAGGATGCCTTTAAACTCCTCAACTGAACCCGCTTGAAAAAAGATGTTGTTGAGGTACATGTAGTTCCAGTCAATAATTGATCTACTGAAGAGGGAACAGGTCGATTTGTACCTTGGACAACTCGTACCTTGGACAACTCGTACAATCAACTCAACATAATTGCACCAACTCGTACCTTTGTCGAGTTTTACCTTGGCCAACTCGTACCTCCAGAAAAGACAACTTGTACCGTCGTGTACAAGACAACTCGTAAGTTGGTCACAAGTACCTTGGCCAACTTGTACCTCCAGTAAAGACAACTTGTACCGTCGTGTACAAGACAACTCGTACCTTGGTCACAAGTACCTTGGCCAACTCGTACCTCCAGTAAAGACAACTCGTACCTTCGTGTACAAGACAACTTGTAAGTGGGTCACAAGTACCTTGGCCAACTCGTACCTCCAGTATAGACAACTCGTACCTCCAGTATAGACAACTCGTACCTCCAGTATAGACAACTCGTACCTCCAGTATAGACAACTCGTACCTCCAGTATAGACAACTCGTACCTCCAGTATAGACAACTCGTACCTCCAGTATAGACAACTCGTACCTCCAGTATAGACAACTCGTACAGTTGTGTACAAGACAACTCGTACCTTGGTCACAAGTACCTTGTGTAGAGCTTACTATTGTTGCAGTCATCATGAACAATAATTTGGTTTCTCATTCACCTAATTTGCTGTTTTTGGCTACACTGCCGGAAGGCCGATATGCTTCAACATTGTTCATGTGCATCGGGCCTAGGCAATGTGTGGTGCTTGTCAAGTAGGCCGTTGTTGCATGCAGTTTGCCTCATCTGCCGTTGCGTTGAACGGCACTTAATTCGGAGGTATAATGTAATGTCATTTGTACATGTAACTTGTATTTCTTCCTTTTATTAATTTACTTTTTACGCAACACTCTACTATGTTTGGGATAATTTTCTTTGTTATGATACATTTGATGGAGTGATGTTATGTTTTCATTTACTGTGTACTTCCGAGATCATAAAGTAATGTCAGCTGTACTCATATCTTGGGCGACTCGTACCTTGGGCAACTCGTACCTTAGCAACTCATACCTTGGGCAACTCTTCCATGAGTTAAGACATCTCGTACCTTCATGCTCGCAATTCACTTAACTTTCTCACTTTTCCTTATTCACATGTTGAAGTTCGTTCGTCCGTTCAACTTTAGGACATCAGTTTATAATAAATACAAGGTTGACTCGAAAGGAATGAAGAAAGAGTTTTTAAGTTGATCTGTGTTGCATCGGTATACTGGCTTTAAAAACTGTAATAAGCTAATGAGAATCAGGATGGCCTTTAGTTCAGCGCTCGCTTCACCTTTACGTGTCCATGTATGTGTTTCAAATTCTTGGGAAAACTCTGGATACAAGAATCCAATGATTTTTTTATAGGAGCAGAGGAAATCAACGACTGATTGAACAAATTTCACTGCTCAAGAAAGACTATTGGCTGCATCAGATGGTCAGGATGGTTGAATAACAAAAGAATTACGTCAGATATCTCGTTTCCACTGCAAAAGCTGTGCTGGCGTTCAGTGTTCAGCCATGAACGACATGATAATGGTGATACGGGCATGACGGGCCTCTGCGTTAAAACATTTTTCGTACGTGGACTTACTGCACGTAAGACTGCCAATTCACGCGATGGTTTCTCACATCGTTGGCTTCTTTTTCAAACAGGTTGAGTGGCGGTAAATCGGTGTCTCTTCCAGTTACAACTTCCTGACTATTACTTTCCATTCTTTCCGATGTGATGGACATCTAATTGCAAAAATTGCTAGTGTAGAGATTGCAGAAAATGCGAAAAACTATAGATTCCTATGTAACTAAAATAAATCATGTGATTCAATGGTAGAAAGCGCCCTCTATATCGATAGTACACAAATGACAGCTTTTCCTTCCTTTCAAAACTTGAGTTAGTCTATTTGTTTTCCAATTTCAGCTCGTTCCGATCAAAATGAATTGAGACAAACGATACACCCAGACCAAACGTACGTAAAAAAAAAATCTGAACTAGCTAGTCAAAACGAAGAATGATAGTAAATGGAAACATCACTATGGCATGTTCAATGGAAGATGATTCAGACTGCACCTTACTGCTGCAGTAGCATGCTGGGCATGCTAAGTCAAGTTTATTAGTAAATTTAAATTAATGCTGAAATTGTGTGAGCGTTGTGCAGTGGGGTCCGCACGTTTTTCTCTTTTCTCAGTGCAGTTGTGCATGGTTTTTGTAGGTAGTGTCCCAAACTGACAACATGTCTCAAGGGGCCCCTTCTGACGAATTTTCAAATTCAGAACCCCGTGCACACTCCATCTTTTCACCGTTCAGTTTTGTGTCGCTGTTCATCGAATTGCTGGTGTTATTCCACCGGGTGGCAGTCGCTGTGCTACGGGGGTGTTTCCGCTTCGTCTTCCCGCGAGCACCCAAGAATATTGTGGGTCGCAATGTCCTTGTCACGGGTACGCTTACTACCCTGACTACGGTGGTATTTTTGTGTGACTGTTTTATTCTATAAAGGGGTACAATTATTTTGTTCAGGGTTCATGAAAACTGAAATCTTGCTTACTTTATCCATGGAAGTAGAGTCACTCTACCTGCACGTCCACCATTAGCAGTATTATTTACACCATGTCCACATGCAGTAGGCATGCTTTGCTAGTATCGAGCGTGTATAAACCTACATAAGTCATGTTGTATTGATTGATGCCTTATTTATGCACTTTTAGATTCTGTACATAAAATTTGTCTACATACCTCTTTAAATCTGGGGCCACAAAAATCCTCAACTTAGGCCTAGGCTATACATGTATATATATGTACCCCCAGAACTGTGGGGTCCGACGTCCGCTCCGCTCCCACATGTGTTCATGGGAGTGGTGCGAACTTCTGACTCCACAGTTCTGGAGGTAGGCTATATACTGTGAAGTTTGAAACTTACTCCTTGTTGGACTTGACGTTGAATAAGTAACGGTTTTTACATTTGACAAGCAGTTTACATGTAAGATGCACAGGTGCACACCCCAAACAAAGCACTTGCCATTCAGTCAGAAACAAAAAATGATGGAGTGCCGTCCAAAAATAAATAAATAAAATAAATTTTAAAAAGAAGTGCAGCTGTAGTGATGTCTGTCTAACCAGGCACTTACATGTACAGGTGTAGTTCCTTTTTTGACAGGATGTCAATTTGGCCGAAGGCTTCATGAATGTGACCCTCATGACCATTGTACATGTACATTTCTACTTTTATATTGTTTGTGTTACACACAATGTAGTTTGCCCTCTGAAATGCTAGCCTACTTAATCTGCTCAAAGCTCAAATTGAGTCCGTCCAATACTTATTGATTAAAACAAATTTTATGTATTACAGGTAATATATATTTTTAATTGAATTAAACTAAAAAGCAGCTAAAAGATTGGATGAAGTTTTAGAAGTACATGTACTATGTTATTATCACTTGTCTGATTGGCTACTTTATAAATGGTTCTTATTTTACCCACGTCACTCACTGTATTCCACTATTCAACATTATCCCGATACGGAGCTATTGGGGTACACTGTATACATGAACTATACATTAAAATTTCCATACAGGTGCTGCCAACAACATTGGCTGCATGCTAGCCTGGGAATTTGCTCTGCGCGGTGCCAACTTGATACTAGTGGACCTAGATGCTGAAGGCTGTGTCAACCTTGCCAGTGACATCCAAGACATTGGCCAAGCAGTGAAAGTGTACAAGTGTGATTTGACAAAAAGGGAAGAGATAAATCGGTAGGCTGTCGGAAGTTATTGTGATATGTTAAATGCTGCAATCTTTCAAGAGTTACTTGGGACAAGCTTACACAAAGTCATCTGTTGATGTTCTAGGGGTCAAAATCTCAATGTAATTTATATCACTGGTGTCTTATTCAAAAACTTGGTGCCATCTGGTTAAATTGTAAATATATCATTTGCTTTCAAAGGTGAGCAGAATTTGTGTGTAACTGCGTCACGCCTATGCACAGTCACATAATTGTGTACCCACGTGCACTTGCAGTTGTGGATTTCCCTTTGTTGTCCTTGTGTTTGGGCATCTTTCAAAGGGCTCCCGTAGGAATTAATACACAGTTCTCCTTCATGTACCTGGGATTCTAACCCCATCTGGGATGTATTGGCTCTCCTTAACACTTCAATACAGAAACAAACTCACTTTGCCACCCAAAGTCTCAAGTTTGCTCAAAGCTGGATCCTGGGGACGGGAGCTAGACTTAATATGAAACAATTTGTTTCAAAAACTCTCAACAGGTCACAAGTGAGTTGATGGTGTAGCAAACAACCCCGAGGTTTGTTTAAACCTGATGAACATTGTTGACAGTTGACAGCTTTTTAAACTTTTTTCGGTGTGTCAGTACATGTACATGTATATCCTTTTGAAAGCAGAAATTCACCGGCAGAAAAGGTGGCAGTCAGACGCAACAGGTTGTGATGCTTTGCTTCCTGTGTGTAGTAGCATGTTGTCACACAGATTCCTGAATTATGTCATCTGCTGCTGTCATATTGGTTGACACGTCTGTCAGGTTCTACTGAGTTATTCTCACCTGCTTGAATCCATCAAAGTGTAACCCTTGGTCTTGTTTGGCTTTGATGGATATCTACCTTGTGCACGATCCCACTCCCCTGCTTACACTGGTGAGAACTGAATTGAGAGATGAGGGCTACAGTCGGCCTGCAGTTGGCTCTGTGCCCACTCCCCATGAGAGGCATGAAGATGCAACAGATGCAAAATAACTGATTGAACTCGAAGACACTTTGGAACTAGCATGAGTTTGTTACCTTTCCTGAACACAAAGTATAGCAGTAGACAGGTAATTGTTGAGAATTGTTGTTCTTTTGTGCAGGGTAATGTGTGATATCATGCGAGATGTCGGTAAGGTGGATATCTTAGTGAACAATGCAGGTATCGTCAGTGCCAGGAGACTTCTAGACTGCCCTGATGCTGTTATCCAGAGAGTTATGGACCTCAACATCATGGCTTCAATTTGGGTATGAGTGGTCTCCCTTATCACTGTCATTCCATACCATTCCGGTGCCACTCAGGACTTTTATTCATGAAAGCTTTCTCAATGCAACAATGTGCATGTACACCAATGTGTGGCCACTGGTGGACTTACTGATGAGTTAGGGTTAACGTAAAGTTGATAAATCCTCCTGTCTGTAGTTATGCTTTCACCTAAACCCACGCAGATTCTTCTAAATCTGTTTGGAGGTTTTGGGATGGTGTACTTGAAGATCAACCACTTTCATTTTACTTTGCAAGAGACTTGATACACTGCCGTGCTCATCAGATTTGAAGACATGTAGAAAGCTGCTACTGATTTCTCCTGTGGAGGAGTTTGGAGAAGTCAGTTGCCTGTTAGTGGTTGTTGGAAACCTAGACTAGGGTGGAAGTTTCTGGACTTTGTTGTTTCTCGGACTGATACAATGAGCAAGAGCTCAGAATTGATCATGTTCAAAATAAATTGGGAATAGCTTGTAAAGCTTCGAAGAATATTTTACTAACAAGAACTCAACTTGGGCTGACTTCACCGGCTAGGATTGATCTTTGCAGGGCTAAATGAGAGCACTGCAACCAGAAATATTTCATGACTGAAAATGCACACACTGGCCACAGTTCACAGACTGTACGTGTACATTTATATTTAGCATGGGGTACAGGACACATGACCATTTTTCATTTTGGTGTATAAACATGTTTACATGTATGTACTGTGTTCCGATGGGCACTGGGTATACCGCATTTGAATGTCTTTTTATGTACATGTATGTCTGTCACTGTAATTATTGAGAGGGAACCGTCTACTAATGAATCAAATCCATGGAGGAAATCTTTGTCAAAACAATGACCACCCCCTCCCCTACCAGGTCACCAAAATTTGACTGCGTTCAATATTTGCTTTGGTCCGAGCAGATGACAAAGGCCGTGCTGCCGGGTATGCTGCAGAGGAACTATGGTCACATCGTCAACATCGCCTCCTTGTCTGGATACATCGGGATCGGAGGCCTGGTTGATCTGAGCACCAGCAAGTTTGCCTGTGTGGGCTTCTCAGAGGCCTTGGACCTAGAGCTGAAACAGATCAGGAAGGACATCAAGGTGTCTGTGGTGTGCCCCTCCCTGCTGGACAGGGGTATGTTTGAAGGGGCCAAATCAAGGTGTGTACGCTCAGTAGAGGTGCTGTTAGGGTACTCTTTGTTAGTTAAGGACACTTACGTCTTCCAAATCTTGAGTCCAGACATAGGTCTGAGTGTTTGCTGGTTACAAATATGCGGGCACATGCCGGCAACAGATATAATCACATTTCTGGAAGTTTGTTTCGGACATGCCCTCTGATTTTTTGGGGTTTTTTTTTTTTTACTCTTGGATAGGCCGTACACCATGAAATTTTAGTCTATGTTAGAAACCGTACTTAAAACAAACATTGACTTATGTTTGCTGACTTGGTGTGACTCAGTGTATGGGTCAGGAAAAACACCAGGGGCTGTTTATTGGTTGCCAACTGTCCATTACCAAAGGTTCTAATCGTAGGCACCCACTGATTGGTCACTGTAGTCAAGATGTACATTTCTTGCATATCTGATCCACATATCTGTTACACTGACTTTGTAATTTTTGACCCAAGAGTTGAGTTGAACATATCATGAGCTACAATCCTTTTGAAAACAAGTTTTGTAAAGTCCTGTGACTTCCTGTGCTCAATACTATGCATGCAACAGTGAAAGATAAGTGCAGGTGAGTGTATCATTTGAACACCAGGTAAATATGGTTAAAGGTGCTTTTCTACAGCACAAAAAGCTAGAAAACTGTTACCTCTGCGTCTGTTTCATACAAATGCTTTCTGTTTAAAGAACTTCTCTTACCCCACCTGCCCACATTTCACTCTCGATTATTTCTCTGCATTTCCCCCTTCTAATCCAGGTTCCCGTCTCCCTTGAAGCCCCAGTATGCAGTCAGCGAGATCATGCGAGGTGTCTTGACGGATAGGGAGGTCATATTCATTCCATGGTACATGCAGTTCACACCCATCTTCAAAGCGTAAGTACCGTTGTGGGAGACTGTCCGCAGTGCGTTGGTCCACCACCGGACCACTTATGGGAACATTTTGTAGTGTGTCCACCACTGTATCTTCTATGTATTTCTGGGTTTGACCAAGTCATTTTTGCCTCATTCTGCCAACTTTTTGCCTTTGTGAAAGATCACGTGTAAAATTGTAGACTGTTTTTTAGGTATTTATATTTCTGACGTCTTATGTACGAATGACTAGCTTGAATGTCTGTGGCCAGGTCTGAGGAACTGACTCTTGATGAATTCTCAAAAGTCCCAAGATTTTAATCGCATTGTGACAGTTCCTTAGACAATTTCTCTGTTTGAACCTTAAAGACTATGGAAACTTCCTGTGGAATAGTTGGTTTCTGTTGTTGGTCAGTGTTTCTTGCATTTGGTGTGTTTTTTTAATTGATGAAGTCAAACTGAATCAAACACCATGTAAGCAATCATTGTGGTCATTGCCACAAGCCTGTTAGGTGCACTCTTACAGAGAGCAGGGAAAGTTTTGTCATCCCCAGTACATTGTTGGCTAGGAATCTTCCACAACTCTCCGAAGGCCTCCACTGTGCAGAAAACCAATGGCAACTCTTTCTACTTAATTTGCCAGAAATGCAACATACAAACACTGCTACAAATTACTTTCTGGCTAGAGGGACCTGAAATTTACAAATTGAAATAAGTTAAAGGGCCTGACAATTTGATTCTACATGTAGCAGATTATTTCTCAAAGACCTTTGAGGATTTTCAGGGATTCAAACATCAGGCCCTCTTTTTTCAATCTTGGAACTATCACATTCAATCTTGCCAATCCTTGGGCACTGTCAGAAGGATTTTGAAGGAACTGGACAAGATGGATTGAAAGGCCAAAACATTTAACAATTCAAAGTATAATGTATGAATGCTTGTCGCCAACAGTGGGCTTACACGACTCATCAGTTCACTCAGTGGTACGTCACAATAAAAGTACTAGTGCTTTTGAATGTGACTTGACAGGTCTAGATACTGTAGGAGTTTGACAGATCAATAACCCCACCTCACACCCCCTCTCCTTAATGGCTACTGCTGGTAACCTTTTTTTCTTTCCATATGCAGTACATTTGAGTGGTGTATAGTAAGGGTTTTCAGTCATCAGTGTTAGGTTAGGACAGTATGAAATCTGAATGTGAAAATGATTTGTGACCTAAAAAAGACATAAATTGAACAAAGCTTGCTAAGTATATTGTCCATCATTCAGGACGAGAAAGTTACAGGAAGCTGTTGTTGTGTAGTGGTTGTCTACAGGCGAAAATTCCACAATTGACCAACCCCACACCCAGTCACAAGTCAGGCCAACTCAGTCCCATCTAGGCCCTGGTTCATGTCAGTTGTGTATAATTCGTAAGTTTATATCTTTTAGGGATATGCATTTGCATCTGATCTTAATTGCTGACAAGTTAGAGTCTCCCCCCCCCAGGATTCTACCAGTTGGCGCATTCAGTGCATTGTTGGATTTCTCCACTGGCATGGACATCATGAAGAACATCAAGGGCTCCAGGAAAACCAGCCTACTGTAGCACTGTCAGGGTGTGGTCCTTGATTAGGGTGCAGTCCTTCACCAGGGCGTGGCCCTTCATCAGGGCGGGGACCAACAGGGTCCACTGGGCAAGATCCTTACAATGAACACAACCAGAGAATGTCGCTGAAGTACACCTGTCTAGGGTGTGGTCATCAGCGATTGACTTGATAATTTAAGTCACTGCATTCGAACAGTCAAAGGTTTTGATTGTCCTAAAGACCACTCCCTAGTACGTATGGTCCAACTTTATCAGGCAGCCTGTTCGATTACTTCCCTTGCATTTACCTGTGGTGTCATCATAGGTTTAGATCTGCATGCACAATATGCAGTAATAAACAATCCCGGGATACTTGGAGTTCCTCAACGAGGACAAGAAGTCACTCATCAATTGAATATGCAACATGAATATGAATTATTTCCCGCCTTTCTTTCACAGAGCCTTGTTGACTCAAGCCAACTTGCCAAAGCATTCATGTATTCTTCTGAATTATTTACAGTGCCAACTTTCCTTGCATTGTTCGAATTAAGCTGGCACATTTTTGCATAATTAATTGTGGGATACTTCCCAAGTAATCTGCTTGACAGGTTGGTCATTTTGGGCCAGATCCACGTACATGTAAGTGCAAGGGGTCACACAGGGGAAGTAATTGCTGCCCAGACTGCACTTGCAGTGTCATTTACAAAGTCAGGGTGCCTTAAAAGAAACTTTGTGTCTTATCAAATCCAAATCATCTTAACCACTTCATGCCGGGGCATTTTTCAATGTTGATGATGCTGGGCCGGCATGACTATCATTTTTTCCGTTTTCAAAATCCTTCAAAAATTCATCATTCCATTTAACGGTCGTTTATAGCCACACGAAGTAATCTTTAGGCATCACTCTAAGTTGATAGGTGACCTTCATTGATGCCCGAATATTTCAGCCAGGCCTGCAGCCTTGTAAACACAGCCCAGATTGTGCGGTGTTATATAACTGTCTTTGTT